TAGTCCTTCGCTGCTCCCTTGGCTCCCTTATGCAGCTACTCGAACATGACACCAAGTCCAAAGTCGTTGGCTGTTCATCCTTTTCATCCCGCTGCCACTCCCACTCCCACCGCTCACCGCTCACATCTCACATTTCCACCCCCTTTCCCTTTCGGTTGTCCTTGCCTGTTGCCCAGCTGCAAGTGACAGTAATTGTTTTATTGACATTGATTGACATGGCAGGGGAGTGGGAATGCTGCAGGAGGTTGGGAAACGGAGCTGGCAGCATCCTGCAGAACCAGGAGCAGGTTCTGGAGGAGCACAGTTGCTGGAGCAGCCAAGTCGGGCCAAAGACAAACTGCAATGCCAAATGCGAGTTTCAATCCCAATTTTTGTATCTTTCTCCCCCGGACCGAGAATTCCTTTCATCCCCGATTTGCAAAGCTCAAAAATGAGCAAAAGATTTCAATTTCATTTTGATTGATCGCATTTGCCCGCCCACTTTTCTGCCCACTTTTCCACGATTCATGCACTTTTTGGCTTTCCCTTCCCTTTGTTTGCCCTTGTAAGCTGCTGATTAAACCATGCAATGTTGCAGCTTCGTTTGGCTTTCCTCTCTGTTTCCCGTTTCTGACTTTCCCGCCAGATTTTCCTCTGGCTTTTCCAGCTCCTCCATCAGCTGGTGGCTGATGGAAAAACAACACATCAATTGCCGGGTGTGCCAGCACAATGAATGTTGTGTGCCATTGTCAGAAAGACAATTGTTTGATTTTCGATATGTTTTTGAAAAGAAGCAGTGAAAGAAAATCATTTCAAGTGTTTTTACTAAGTACGTAGCTGTGTTTTCTCATTATCAAGATTAAATTTAAATGAAGTGTATTCAAAACAAAACAAAACAGTATTGCAACATTTTTTAAAGAACATCGAAAATCCTCTTCAAATTTAGCTTATAATGTGCTTGTGTGAAATAACATTAACACTTTAGGAACAAACTATGCATTTCTTTCAGTGTGGCCAAAACTCTTAGCAATTCCGCCTTCGCTGCACTTTTCATTCTGTTAAGGATGCGAGTGCAGGTTAGTCCTTGTGTAATCCACATCAATCCGGAAGCCAGACCCTGAAAATATTGAAGGAAGGAAAACTTGTGCACTCCCGCCATCCATTTTCCCTTTTCCCGTTTTCATTTCCATTTGTTGTCATGGCAGCTATGACTTTGCTACTTGTTTCTCCTTCTCCTGTTTTTCATATTAATTATGAAAGCGCATTTGGTGAACGGAAAATTTATTTGGCTTATATTTCGATTACGGTTTGTGTTTTTCCTTTCCGCTGCTTACATTTTTTTGTTTCCAAGATTATTTTTCCTGCCATTTGCGGATACTCAGGGGACCAAGATGCCGAATTGGAATGAAATGTGATGCTTAATTAGTTTTATGCTACTTCTGGTGATTACGCTGATGATCCTGATCCCGAAAATGACGCCGCTGAAAATGGGAAGTGGGAAACTTGTGCTTCCAAATGGCTTATGTATTTTTTGCTTGGGCTGTAAGCGGACTTCTAATAAAACAAAATACCTCTAAATAACTTCACAAATATTGCAATAAAATCTTTTATTTAGTTCACACTTCAACATTGTTCCAATTTATACAAAATTCGTTTGAGTTAACAAATTGTTCTTAATATTATTTGAAGGTCAACTTTTCTACAACTTATTGGGAAAACTTCTTCCTCTATGTATGCATTTAAATGTAGTCCACCGTCCTGTGCAAAAAATACTGCCTGACACACACAAGAAGTGCAAAAGATCTGCAGTCGACAACAACTTTGGAAAACTGATAACGAACGGCAACAGGAAATGTCGAGACCAGGGAACAACAACTGCAGTTAGGGGGAGGGGTGGAAAATCGGGGGAGGGAACTAGAACCTTTGGTCAAGCTGGCAGAGGGAAAACCAGCTGTATACAGCGAAAAGAAAACCAGTGCTTTATAAAGTCTCATATGCAATACTTACTATTTCGATGTGTAAATAGCACTACATAGGATTATGTTGATATAAAAGAAAGGACTCTCTGCAGTAAAAAAAGCAAGGCGAAGTCTAGATTCACTAACATTTCACACTCGATGTGCTGAATGTTTTTCTCCAAGTGCGACGTCCCAGTGCCACCGATAAAGTTGCAGTCTGCTTTGCCATAACTTGAGTGCATAAATCTTGGCCAGGCTCGGTGTGTGGCCTGAAACAGCCCTTGCCAGCCAGTACAGTGCCCATTGTAGCCCTTTGGCCCCCTGAAGACCCACACAAGGTGACATCTTTGGTGAGTGGCACGTTAAAGTAGCCAAAACTGGACTCCACTCCAATTTCGCATCCACTTCCACTGACCAATGTCCAGACACTGCATAATAAATTGCAGCGGTGGTGTTATAAATATTCGCAGGCCCCTGGGTCGCCCATTTTCCATATTCCTCCTACGATTGCGATCTTAGGCTACAGTTTTGCACATGGAGATTAAAGGACGAAACTGAAATGCTGACGCAGCTGATAGAATTGAGAAAACAATAAAAACGTAATGCAGAGACATTTTTATGTCCTGGGACGTATTGCGGAATGATATATACCCTGCCGTTAAGGCACTTACAATAAAGTGCGCTGGAATGCTAAACTTATAAAATTAGCTTGTTGCAGAGCCAACATTTCGCACTAAATATGTGTGTTTCAATTCAATTTGTTGTATAATAAAAGTTAAGTTTTGAATTGTTATTACTAAATGCTCTTAACCGGTGCATATATTTTGTTGAACAGCGTATTGAGGTGTTTAAAGGTATCTTAAACAGGTCATAACTGGTTCGTTTTCTGTATCTGTCTATGCTCCCCATGTCAAGTGGGCCAAGCCCCCGAAGAAAGTGCAAACTTGAAAACAATAATATTGCAGTTGCTGTCGTTTTTCCCCAAAACCCTAACATTTCCACCAGTTAGTGGACAAGCCCATTAAGGGGCAAAAGAGTTGGTGGTTGGGGATTTCCACCGTGCCGCCAAATATGCGGCGACAACAATAAATTAATGCGATTTATTGCCGCGATAAGAATGGGACAGCAAGAGGCCTAGGGACTTGGGAGGAATAAAACAGGGTGTCAAGGGTGCGTCCCCTTTTTTATGGCAATGTGTGTGGGCTTGTTCGGAATGCGGCAGATAAGGTGAGCCCCTTGAAGCGCCCATTACCACGCCATTTTCCATGCAAAAATTTGTCCCCTGGAAATTAACGATGCTCCACAGGCAATGCAGCCGAACAAAATATATACGGCCCAGCGATACCTCTCAACCATCCCTAACCCCTCCCGTTCGCAGATAAGCCGACTTACTTACCATTTAATTAGGGCCTCAATGAGCATTAGGGTGAAAATGCGGCAACAGCAACTCGAGGCACGCCCCCTGTCTGGGCCATCAAAATGCCTTTTTAATTAAAACCTGAAGCGGAAGCGGAAAAAACAGGAAAATTTTCGCCGCCAAATGATGTGTGAGAAGTCGATAGAGAGCGACGGCGGGCGTTAAATCACAATGGCAAACAGGAAGTCATGGAAAAATTGAGCTTTAGTGGGGGAAAATCCCAAAAATCGGGCAAGGGTGCATGCAAAACGCTGCGGAAAACTCAAGGCTGGAAAATCTTGTGTAAAAATTTGTTGAGCCTGCAAACTTATCATTTCGTTGGGTTGCGTTGGGGTTTTCGGTCTGGGATTCGTCTGGCCAGGAGCTATAATTGCATAAAATGCCCAGAAATATAATTCTGCTGAGAGCCGCACAAATCGCTCTTACACGGCGAGGAAACGTATATATTTTACTTACAGAATACAAAGTAGGAAAAATGAATTGCAAAACGAACTTTATCAAGTTATAGCAGGTTTCAATTAAAATCAAACACAATTTGTTAAGTGAAGGTTTTGTTATATTTACTCCAAATATGTACTATTTCTTTTAGTGTAGTGGAAGGGGTGTGATAGCGGTTGTCTGGTTACTGGTAACTGGTCCCGTGCCAGACGCTAAGCTGCCAGTAAATCACAACCGAAAGCCGCTGTTAAAACACGAGCCTGCCCCGGAAAACTCGGAAAACTCTGTTGGTGGTTGCTTTGGCTTGGGTTTTCGGTTAGGTGATTGGGTCCTTGGGTCTCTAGCGTTTTCTTTTTGCTCGACGGCAGTCGGTGGTTGCAACAGCCGCTGGCAGGACACGTGCAACACCCGGAATCGAAGGAGAGGGCGGTGCTAGTGGACGGCATGGGGTGGACTGACTGACAGCAGCATCAGAATCCGCAGGAACTCTTAGCCGGAGGCCTTTCCTAGTAACTGACACTCCCCACAAGATTTGATTATAGACGGAGTTCGGGCAGGCTGCGGAACTCCTTCGGAGCTCGTTAAATGCGTCCAAAAGTGATTCATATTCGAGGGGTTAACTTTCCGGCCTCACAATGTACATATAAGTATATCAGCTACTTCCCACCTGCCTTTCGCGAATTCAATTTTCTTGCCCTTTTCGCAAACACAATATAACCTAATTTGATTGGGTTATTCATATAGTTGTTCTTAGGGCTAGTCCGATAGAGGGATCGATAGCTTTGAGCGCTTTTAAGAAAATTAAATGGATGTTGCGTAATGCTGCATTTTATTATGCATAGCATGGACTGAAGTGCATAACTTTTAAAAAGGGCTTAGACTTCATAAATAATATTATTTATATGTAGTTTCCATAACTGCAGTAATTTGAGTAATATATTCTTAATGACCAAATTTACACATGTTTTTAAATTTACCATTACTTATAGCGACCAGTTTTGTAGCGCTCACTTAGAAGATCCTTGCTACCGATTCTAGTGTGAATTATCACGCAAGTACTTCTGGATGCAAACCGTCTAAGTCTTTGTAGTCGATAAATGACTAATGAAGCCGTACCCCAACGGCGTTGATTATGAGATCTTATCATAGTTGATTGGCGGATTTTATTTCCCCATACTTTATGAATGTAAGAACAAAATTATCAGTGCTGCTGATTCGCTTTTATTTGCTTAGTACATACATCTTTAGAAACTAACTATGTATACAAAAGGCATAAACAAAGAAAATAGGGGTTTTCGGTATCAAGGGGATCACCCTCATAGATCGGTCCTATTGCGTATGTCCACGCCCATTTCCTCGAAATAATCTTCATCCTCGTTATCGATGTCGTATAACGGCTGATCCATGCTATTTCTTTTCCTGTGCCTCCTCAGACTCTCGAATACCTTCTTGAAACTGACAGCTTTCTCGCTGCTGGCCTTCGATCTACTGATTTGTATTAGGGAGCGATTGACAACGGTGGCCAGAACAATCACTAGAACTACGCCGACGAGCAGGTAAAGCATTATTAAGGCTAGATTGGGGGCACTTTCGCCCATGTCCATGTGGCCAGCTATGTCCTCAGGATCAACTTCCCAACTGAAGCGCTTCCGTACGTTATTTGAGGAGTTGACTCCTAAATTATATGAATAAGTGGGATATTATTAGTTATTTATTACTCAGGCTAGTTTATACAACTCTATGAAAACGATGTATACTACTGATTATACAATTGTATCCCAGTGGGATACAATTATAACAATGTACTAGAAATTATTTCGAACATAAATTATCTTTTTGCAATTAAATAATACAAATAAAAAGGCTTATAAGTCTTACCTGGTGTCGTTTTAACAGTACTGAGAGACGGAACTGTTGTTGTTGTTCCGGTTGTTTTAGTCGCATTATACACTTTAGGAGTTGTTGTTGTTTTCTTTGTTGTAAGCACATTTCTTGTGGTTGTTGTCGTTGGTGTTGTTGAACTGGTTGTAGACTGTCTTGTTGTTGAAGTCATTGTTGTTGGTTTCGGCGATGTTGAAGTTGTTGTCGGTTTCTTAGTTGTTGTTGTTCGCTCTGTGGTTGTGGGCTTTGTTGTTGTTGTGGTGGTGGTTGCGGTAGTTGTTGGTGTGGTTGGCCTTTTAGTTGTAGTTGTGGTTGTGGTTGTAGTTGTAGAAGTTGTGGTTGTAGTTGTAGTTGTTGAAGCGGCAGTTGGTGCTGGGAAACTTAGATCAAATTCCTGCGATGAGAACAGCTCTTTAACGCACTCATCCAAAAAGTTTAGGCAACAATTATCATTCATAAGGCACTCGTCATCGCATCCACATCCCATGACTATACCATGACTGGTTAATTCGGCACCCAAGGATGAGGTTCCGCATCGACCTGAACAACTCATCATGTCGTAGACCAGTGGTTGCTCGCTCCTGGCCGTCGGTGGTGCCGGTGGTTCGGTGGTGGTGGAAAATCCATTTGTGCCACAATCGCTGCCTGTCATTAGCTTTACATCATCGATTGCAATATCTCCGAATTGGGATCTTGCATCCGTTGCCGTGAAGATCACCTGGAAGTCCTCCTGCATCTCGTCAATGGTAATTGTGTGCTCCAGCCACTGGGTTCCCTGTTCACCAGCTATCTCAAATTTGCTGGAACTAAAAAAAACAAGCAAAAAACAAAACATTAACATGTTTTTAACAAATTAAAAACATGTTTTCTACTAAACCCTGATATTCAATGACTATGACAATGTCAAAGCTGATAGGAAACAATCAGTAGAATTGTTGTCATGCTTAAGCCACATTTGCAACATTTATCGCGTTCCCTGCACCCTCTAATCTAATTCCTCTTCCGCTCCGGCAAAACTCACTTGGCTCTAAACCTATTCCACATGGTTGTCATTGTCATCGAAATGGGTTTTACGGACACCACCAGACTATCCACACCAGCTCCGAACATGAAGTAATGGAATCGGAAGCAGCAGGCGGTCTTCAGGGTGAGGGATCTTGAATAAATCGGCGATATTAAATGGTAGCTTCCATAAGCCCCCATTTGGGTTTCCATTCGCATGTAGTGACCATTGGATCCGCTTTTAAATGTGTGATCGTGGCGGGGTCCCGTCCTTAGGGAGTGAAAATCGGATGCTGTGCTGACCCGCTTCCATGGTCGCCGGAAGGTCGTCTCCGCCTCCCAACCGCACTGATCCTCGCTCTCGAAATCGCAAGAATGGTCCCTGGTGTGATTGCTCCTCCGACACGATCCCAGCTGGGTGTTCCACTCTTCTCCATCGCAGTAGGCAGTGCGACTTCCCACCAAGACATAGCCGTCGTGACACACGATATCCGTTTTTAGGGGATCAGATTCAACGTGTCCGTTCTCCGGATCCTCGAGCTGCACGCATCCCCTCCCTAAAAAAATAATGTAACATGTTTAAAATTCAGAATTTCAACAACTTTCAAATAGTTGTGTCCCAAACTTCGAGATTAATGAAAGCTCAGTAATTTTCCATTAGCAACAACAATTGAATTGTTGTAACATTTTATTTTTTCACATATTTAATCGATTTTATACTTTATTGATGGCTAATTTTGAATTAAAGGAAGTTTTTTAGGCACTTATTTATGGCACTTACTAGCACAGAAAGGTTTTTCGCCTCTAAGGAAGCCGTTTCGATCGCAAGTTTGCATAACCATTCCCTGCAAGGAGTAGCCGCGATTGCATCTAAACCTCACAATATTTCTCGGTCGATAATTTATAAGTCCATTTTCCAAATTTGAAAGCCTTTCACAACGTCCATGAATGTGACCTACACTATATATCACAATCACTGCCAGAGTCCAGAAAAATTCCATGTTGCCGAGATATTACGAACTTAGTGTATAGGGTTGACTGAAGGCTGTTACAAGACTGAGACTCAGTTGAAGTGGACATTTTCTCGAATCAAAACTTATCCATTCGGAGCGACGAATAGCGGGTCTCCCACAATGGCAAGATATTGAAGTCTGGCGGATTCTCACTGAAGGAAGTACGGATAACCGCTTTGTTAATCATTCTTAATTCATTCTTATTGTTATTAAAAAGTAAATAAATGAAATACAACATTATTTTGTTGATTACTGTATAACGGCTCCGAAGAATGTATCGATTTCGGTGATGATATTCGGAACTTTATAATCCCAATATGGTTTGAGATTTTACTAGTTGTCCATGTTAAAAAAGATTAGGGGTTTCGGTTTTTATAAATTTCACATCGTCAATACCAATGTCGCCATGGATAGAGCTTGGGTCCATGACTGTGAAAACCACCTGGAAGTCCGACTCCATCTCATCGATGGCGATCAAGTGGCTTTTCCAGTTTGGTCCCTGATCGCCAGACACAGTGAGTTTGGTGTAGCTGCAGGGTAACATTTAATGTAATTACAGTTTTGGTAATTTACACAGTTCGCTCACATATGTCCATAGCTCTTCCACATATCCTCGACCGCCATTAAAGCGGGTTTGACCGATATCGCCAGGTCTCTTAATTCCGTACCAAACATGAAGAGTTGGAACTGAAACCATAAGGAATGGCCCAACGTGAGGTTCCTGGGATAGATCGGAGATATGAAGTGGTAGGTCCTGGAGGCATGCACTTGCGTATGCAAGCGAATAAAGTGTCCTTCGATATCGCTCTGGAAAGTGTGATCCTGCTGCAGACACTTATCTTTGCGAAAGTCTGCCGCAGCACTGATCCGCTTCCATGGCTGTGGTATGGCTTTGCTGGCCTCCCAACCACACTGATCCTCCCTCTCGAAGTCGCAGGAATAGTCACCGATACTGTTGGCCATCTGGCAGGCTCCCAACTTAATGATCCACGTCGTTCCATTGCAGTAGGTAAAGGAATTTCCACTGAGAACAAATCCTGCGTCACACTCGATTTCGGCCTTTAAGCCATCAATGGCCGTGAAAACATTTCCATTGTCCGGTTTCTTAATAACATTACAACCCGCCTCTGGAAGTTTCACATTTTAATTATTTATGAGTTAGTTTTTATGGCTATAATATTATTTAAGCCAACTCACTGGCACAGTATCGCTTCGCTATATTTCCGCCGCCAAGGTGCCACGTCTTGCCCTGTAAGGAAAATCCACGATTGCACTGAAACTTGATGCTATCACCTAGGAACCAGCTAGACGACTCTGTAACTTGCCCGTTGTGCAACTTAATGTCCAGCTCACAACTGGCAATTGGTTGGATCACTGTATATATCATAAATAGTCTAAGCGCCCACAAAATATCTGCAGAAACCATTGCAGTTGTATAAATTGAAGAATTGGAGAGAGAAACCATTGCCGTTATATAAATTTGGATGCTAGTTAACGACTGAACTGAGAAATGCTTTTGTATAAACCTATTTACATTTCCTTATCAGGCAAAAAATATTTTTGTGCCAAAAACACCAAATATGTTTAATTTAATACAGGGTGTCTCGATGGCAGTTAAATAATTCATTCAAATATTGGAGTCTTTAACGACGTTATGGACTTATCATTCCCTATTAACTGCTTATACACCTTTATTAACTTTACAGCCGGTCCAATAGAGAATATTTATTTTATTATGAATATTACGAAGCGTTTCCGACCGTACAAATTCTTGACCGACCGTATATATATTCTTGATCAGGATCAATAGCTGAGTCTAACTGGTAATGTCCGTCTGTCCGTACGTATGAAGGTCGAGATCTCAGGAACTATATTGGGCATATAGATTCCACCCAAATTTGTCACGCCCACACTATTAAAAAAATTAAATTTTTTTTTTATTATTATTTTTTTTTTTTCTCCATTTCTACAGATATTACTGAAAATTGAGAAATTTCTCGTTCGCACTTACAGTAGCCGAGTAACGGGTATCTGATAGTCGGAGAACTCGACAATAGCATTATATATTATGCGTTACGTATTTCCCCTTATCGCTTCTAGCATAATGTCAGTAATATTTATAAAATGTACGAATCCATTTCTTAGTCATTTGGAATGAAGTTCACACTCATGGATCTCAACATTTTAGTACCACAAAACGTTGACGATAAGAAGCTTATCGCTTACTTCCAACGTATATTATTTGTTGTACATTGTACATGCTCACGCAATGTGTGTTTGAAACAACATCTGTTTTCTTCTTACTTTTCTTTTCTTCTTGCACTTATTTTTCTCTGTATCTTATAATAATATGAAATATATAATTCAATTTAAATATTTATATATATTTCAAAACCTACTACATCTTATTCTTAGAAATATTATATTTCAATAACTACTACATCTTATTTTCAGAACTTGGCGAAAGGAAGTCGAAATTTGCATGCGGACGTTACGGTAAGTTCGACAAATTCTCCCATTTTGTTTTTTCTTTTATTTTTGGTTTGATTCATAGACCTCGGTATATATATATATATATATATATATATATATATATATATCACATTATCCCGTTTCCTTATGTTAGTGTCAATAAAATAAAGAAGTATGCGGTTATTATGTTCTTATTTATTTATGCTCTTATTTATGCAAAATACTTTTATAAAATTGTAGACTTGTAATATACATTCAATAGACCGAAATGAGTGAATGTAGTACCCTACTTATACAGAACAGCAATTATCGTCGAAACTACCAGGGTGCCAATATACTGTCTCCACTCATTAAGGCTTATTACACCACTAGTCTTGTGTTTTGTTGTCAATGGTGCAGCATCATTTATGGCCGTTTTATTGGTACTATTTGGTTTTTCTGTTGGCTTTCCTGCATTGCCTTTCACTTCTGGAGACCCTATGGGGCTTACAGTACTGCTACTTGGTGGTTGTTGTGGCTCCTTTTCGGGTTTTACTGTACTGGTACTTAGAAGTTGTTGTTGCGCCCCCATGGAGTTTACTGTACTGCTTGCAAGTTTGTTTTCTTCAATATTGGATCCATATACCAGGACCAAGTTGAAAAGTATGGCAAAAGCGTAGAACAGTTTCATTTTTTAGAAATCTTATTGTGTTAAAGGCTTGAAAGTATAAGATCGACTAACTTGCGACCCAAAATAAATCCATTTAAATACCCGTTTATGATTGTACTGAATTCTATTATCGGCTTATTCATGAATTATTTTTATTTGAATAACAAACTCGTTATCGTTTTAAACATATACATTATCTATTAGTCATATTATGTATTAAGTCCTACAAAATAGACTTAGCTTTGGAATTCGATACTGTGACAAATCTTATTTTCAGTGAATGATAAATTATTTGGTTAGTTCATCCCCATATAACACCACTAAACTGGGTTTATCGTTTTGTCTTGGGATGCCATTGAAATGCAATTATTCGCATCTCCGGTCGGAATTGGGTTGCGAGGAGATGGAACTAAATAGTAGCATCTTCTTCCTGTCGCCTGCAAGCTTAAGTTATGGGCATTTGCTGGAAGATCCTGGAAAATAATTGTCCAGGGTTCGGGTGGCGCTTCTTGCTGTGATTTATGTTTACATCCGCTTAAGTCTCAAACAACTCGCAATCATGACGCTCGCCATCGCAGCATCTCTTTCCAAATCTCCCTCACTTTCGTCGTGTCGAGATAATCAGTCAATATTGACAACTACTTATTGGCACTTCCGATGAGCGCGGATTGGGGCGGAGTGGGCGAAATGGACTGGGTACGACTGGGGTGGCAAAGGACACGTGACCGGGGATCAGGAACTGCCACGTGTCCGGCGAAATGCAACGGAAAGTGTAGCGAATTCCCTTTCTCCGATTTCCCGATTCACTGTCAGCAATTCAAATTTCATTCATAATTACAATCAGTGCAAAGGAAAACGAAAGGGATGCAACTTAAGGGAGGTTTCTGGCTGTGGGACTCTGAAAAGCCAACATTATTCTAAATGCACTGAAAAATAACATTTCCAAAATATACCGGTTTTATTTTGAATTTGTAAAATTTCCATTGTATTCAGCTTGCTGTTATATGCACTGAGAAAATGTTGGGCACATTGCACATAATGTTGACTTTAAAATCGTGATAGAGTAACATATAGCACAACTTGGAAAACAACTTTAAGTGCGTAATAAATGATATTTCTTACAGTGTACAGTTCTGGATCTTGGCCCCTGACTGCCACTGTTTCACCGATAAGTTCCCGGCTGCTTAAATATTTGCTCATTATTATTATTATTATTCTTTTATTTGCGGCGTAGCCACTGTTGCCAGTGGTTTTCAAACTTCAATATTTGCGCTCAAATTACGGAGCTCAACCACCCAACTGCCTTTCCAGTTGCCGGGCAATGAAGGTGGTTCGGATGGTAGGAATCCTTCCACAGGTCTCAGAATTAGCGGCAAATGAGCAGCTGTGGGCAGGGAAGGTCGTAGATAGGGAAATGGGTCTAGGGGCGTTTTCCGAATGGTTGCAAGTTGGGGGAAAAGTCTGGCATAGCAACGCAGCGAATCAAATGGGCATATTGTTGCTAACCATTTATAGAACTTACTTCTGGGTGGAATGTGTTGGGTTGAACATTGTTAGTGCATATTTTGTGTTAGATAATAGTTAAAAGTTAAAAAAAATACAGGAATGTTGTAGTGGTATATGGTATATGACATTATTAGAAGGAAGTCTGCTATCGCCAAAATAGTCGAAACATATTTCATTAAAACAAAAAAACTTGATAATTGGCTATCAACAAAATATCAGACGAAATATGATGCAATACATTTAAAAGTTATTTAATGCTCATGAATTTATTTAAATCGGGTTTCTTGCTGATAATAAAAAAGCAAGCTTTGTTTATGCATTTTTCACATATATAATAATAAACTTTTTCCATTTTATAATGACTAACCGTTAAATCATTATCAGTGTCGCAAGTCGACTTTAATGTCTTGAATTTCTTTCCATAGAATATTATGATTTCTGCAAGGGTTGCCTCATTGAGTTTCCTATGAAATAATTGTGGCCCACGTCACTAAATAAAAGAATCGAACATAAAATTAAGTTAAACCAAAAAGTTAACTACCTCGTCAGCTGCTCTCTCCTTGCAAGTGCCAAAACCTAATTGCGTTTTGTTGGAACTTTCGAACCAAGATGTGTAGGCGACTTCCAGGCCCAGAACTGCCACACACGTTCGAATTAACACGGTTAATGGAGGCGCCTCGCTCTTCGGAGAGATGGCAGGCGCGAAAGTTGAAGTTCCACGGGAGTGTTGGGGTCGCAAACTTCAAAGATTACCTCGATAATTAATAAAATTAAACATAAAAGCACTCAACGAGGCAACGGGAGTTGTCTGTGCCACCCGGAGGATGACCGCAGACAGCCAGAGGATTCCGGCAATTTCCTCCAACTCCGGCGCATTAGGCCGCCTCGGGCGTGCCAAGTCGCTCTTTGGTCAGCTTCTGGTCGCATTAATTACAAAGCAGTGACCGCAGAGCACATACAAACAGAATGCACGATGGGTGTATGGAATACGGGGTTTTCCCATTCGAAATATCAGAGAAATGGAGCACGCTGCCATAAGATTTTCAATAAATGCACTAGTGATTAACACAACTTTCTTATCGAATACAAAAAATCTATACAATTTTGTAATACAAATTCAGAAAGTTGATTAGTCCAACATGTTTTGGATTTCTGATCTAATTTGAGTTGCTACCCGTAATAATTACCGTAATTGCCGTAATCGACAGCCCAGTTCGTGAGGCATCCAGGTGGCATCCACTTGTGAATGAGGATGTCTACTCATCGGCTCTTTAATTTGCGGCAGTTTATGGAACTCATTATGTTAGCGGGCGTGCCATCGGCTGCAGGCGTGGGATTCGGTTGCCATTTCTGATGGCAGTCCGAAAGTTTTCGCGTAATTTCATTTAAAGTCCTTGAAAGTTGCAATTGTTGCTGTGCGGACGCTGACGAGAGAAGGCACTAAGTTTGTGGTTCTTAGTGTTTTTCCCGCACCGAATGGCAGCAGTTCCTCGCTCATTATCCTGCTGATTTTTAGCACGATTCCGCGAATTTGCACCTACACACATAAATGTGGCATAAATCCAATTAGGCGCCACCGGCAGCGCTTTAATTGACGGCGGTTGCCGCCTACGTGCTGGATGAGCCACCACCCTTGGTCACGGGCGGGTTAAGGTGTCGGGGATTGTGGGGTTAAGGGTTGAGGGTTGAGGGGTTACGGATGGAGCCGTGCGGAGTAAATGAATTTCCATATGGCGCTTTTGTTTTCGCCAACGGAGATATGAATGAATGAATGACTGTGGTGTGCTTCAGTTCAGTTCAGTGTGGTGCGGTGCGGTGCGATGCGGTGGTTCCCTGGCTCTTTGTGGGTTTATATGGGTCTATATGGGACGACTGACAGCTCCTGTTCCTGTTCCATGGCCTACATTTCACAAATTGCAGTCAGCTGGGGCACAACGAGAAATGGAAAGACATTAGTTTATGTTCCAGTTCGAAGAAAATAATGGGGTGCTTTTAAAACTCATTAAATTTTCTCTTGGAATTTCTTAAATAACCCGATTTAATCCACTTATCTGCTTGTTAATGCTTTCATTTTGATTTCGAGCCGACGCGTCAGTTGGAATTTTTCTCCGCCTCGGATTTTTCCGCTTTTTCCCAGCTGTCAGCGGTATTCGAAGTGGCTGACTTTCGTTTCTTACGCAAAACTGCAGAACTGACACGAACAGGAAGGGGTATGGGGGAGGGGAGAGCGGAGACCGAGATCCTGCGCTTGGCACTAAATTAAAATGTCAGTGTCGTGTTACTTCCGGCGCCAGGATTGCCCGCCAGGGTTGCCAGAGTGCCGGAGTGCAGGAGTGCAGCACTGCCACTTAAGTCAAATTGCATGCTATAAATTTGGTGCCAATCAACTTAAACATGGCACATTATGAACCGCCTGCAGCTGCAGCTACAGCTGCTTTTCTTCTTTATAATAAATGCTGATATATACCGCCACGCCCACCGGCTCGTTTTCCCGCCCGAGGAAAAAATGACTGCAAATTCCTTAAACTTGTGGAATTTTGGGAATTAATATCAAGTTAAATAAGCATTCTAACGTACATGTATATGCGTCACGCAAATATAATTGTGCCTATTAACTTTAATTTCACTGCATTTATGGCAAATAAAAACTGGCCAATAAATTTGAGCTATACTAGTATTTGATTCCAATTTACCACAATTTCGAACTAAAAAATGACCAACCACAGCAAATCAAAACACAGGGCATTTAATTTAAATTCTTCGTTTTTGATGTTTTGCTTTATTTTTACCTTTCGTTTTAAAACTGAATAAAAAAATATTATATGTTTTGTTTTTATGTGTGTGACTGCATGAGAGTGTTTGTGTGTATGCATAAATATTTTAGCTTATGTTTTCTTCTCTGTTTTGTGGGGTGGCAATTTGTTGAATTGAATGAAATCAGAAATGCATACAAAATAGTTAACAAAGTGTTTTATTGTTTGAATAGCCCAGGGGCCTCAAATTCTGTTTATACTTTTTTGTTCATGGATTTATCGCTTGTGTGCCACTTCCACTGCCGTCAGTCAAATTGCAAAAAATATATATATATATATACTACATATAAGTATTTTTGCTAAATAAAAAATGTACTTTGATTTTTGTTTCGCCTTTTTGTTGTGTTTGGAAATATAGATTTCATAGATTCCGATTTGTTTTGTGGTGTTAAATGAAAAATTATGCTTTACTTATTTACAAATAATAAGTAGATGTATATGTAAGTGTATATGTATATATATAATGTATATCCGCTTATCTGGTTTAGAGTGTATAATTTATATCATAAAGTTTCTCGTTTTTGCTCTTCTTGTTTATAATTTGTTTTGTTCATTCGACGAGATTTTTCTTATTCGCTTAAGAGTTCTTAATTCGTTTTTTCGCTTTATTTTGTGGCATTTGCTCTTAAACACTTGCTTACTAATTAAATTCATTTCAAAATTGTTTAAAATTAACTACAATTTAATTTAAGTTGCCGCTGCTGCTTATTTACTTTGCAAGTCAAGTAAATATATACAATTACACATGTATTTACATTTAAATCTTAGCTACATAAAATGTTTTTCTCTCGATCTTCTCACTTTGTGTCTGTGCCATTGTCAAAAAGTTGCAAAACACATGATAAGGGTTAAAAACACAACGTAATGCACAAACAAAACATTTATATTAACTTAACCAATCCTTTTCTAGTTGAGCTAACGATAATTACAAGTAAAATTTTGAATTTCAACACAAAGTTTGAACAAATGGAAAACAGAACAAATAGTTTAGTTAGTTGGTAAATTTTGTAAATTAAATTAAAGTTTTCAGAATGGAGGAGTTGGTTTCTTTTTGTTTTACTTTGTATCTTATTATTTTTCAATTATTTTCAATAATTTTTTTTTTAAGTTTTCTGTACTTTTTTTTGTTTTTATTTTATATCTTACTTAAAGCAACGTTTTTCTTTTTTTTCGTATTTATTTAAAAGTTTAAAATTAAGATAAGGTAAGTTTTGTTTCCTTTTGTTTCGATTTTTTTATATATTTTCTTGATTTTTTTTGTGGCAGGTCGTACTGTTTATGTATATATTTTATCTTTTGTCGATCTGTGCTGGTAATATTGCACAGAACCAACAAGAATCACTTACGAGTTAATTAGCCTAGGCCTAGGTGAAAAGTGAGATTTTGTTTTCGATCGCCTGCCCTCTGAAATTTCGCCTTACAATTTAAAGTTCGTTTGTTGCAACTGGGACCTATTTGACCATTAATATTAACTACTACTTAGCCCTATGCTACCTGGTAAATCGTAACATTTAGTGCTTGTCCAGTGATGGTTTTAATCCGTGTGTGTATTTCGGTTTGTATTTCTCTCAGTGTATTATGTCAACAAAGTGCTGAACTAGAGCAATGATAGATCGGAACTCTAATCCTATGGTATATGGTATTCGTTTCGTTGCCAATAAAACTCAACACACGTTCGTCGTATCCCTCAAACTAAGCTTACATCGAAGTAATATATTAAAAAGTATTCAAAATGGCCACTTTTCAAAAGATCTGCTGCTGGCAGTCGAGCAGGAAGTTAAAATGATAATTAGAATGGGTTTAGAGTCGATGATCATGGAATTTAGCGTGTGTGTGTGTGGAAAATATTTGAGTGCTGATTTTTAGTTGTTTGCGATTTCCCAACTAGATTCTTCTAGACAATAATCTCGCGTATGACGCGACGATTTCTGGCATTCGGCGTTGTCGAATATTCGCCCTCGAAGCTGTCGTCGTAGCTCAAGGACATGTGCTGCTGCGGGGGAAGGACCTCGTCCTGTTCCAAATGCTCCATGTTGTAGGGATTGGGCAGACCGCTTACGTCGTGATATGGTGAATCTGGGGAGAGAAAATATTGTGGGAATTGTTTAAATTAGTTTACCAAAATGGGCGGAAAAGAGGCAAAGTCATGCGCAAACAATTAAAAACAAAATGCTAATCAAAACAATGTTTTTCGGGTGCTGGGCTGTGTACTAGGCAGTCTGTGAGAAATCATAGCAAACTTGGGTAACTCAAAAATTCTGCATCATCACAGTAATGAAACCAATTTTATTTATTTATTTTTTATATTTTTTTTCTTCAACGAAATCCTTGCCGACTTTAACTTACTTCAGCCTGCGCGCTCCGTTAGAGCGTAACATCCTGTATAATGTCCGCTATAGATTTGTTTATGGTAAATACATTGTTTGGTTTTTGATTTATGAGTGGGCAAGACATGTGTGAGAGTAGTAGAGAAAAATAGCCATGTTAGGGAAAAGATAATACACGCTAATACTTAAGGTCTAGCTTAGAATGAAAGCAAACACACTTAAAGTCCTAAAAACCTAGGGATGGTGGAGTGGTGTTTTTCAATTACTTAATTCGTTTATTGAAGCTTTAAACTGTGGGCGATTTTTTGTTTGGTCCGAAAAGCAATTGTTTTAATTTACCAGTTGATTGGTCTCACTAACAACATCCAATTGCAGTTCAGATTGCTGCATTTGTCGCCCCCATTGAAATCGTAAACGAATTAGAGGCATTTTCTGGCATTTGGTTGGTGCTGGTCGGACGCTGTCTCTGGTAAACAGGACATTAATTTATAATCAAAGGACTTGGCTGTTGAAACGGCACCGTACCCATTCCCCGCCACTTTGGCAAACATCTTTGTCTGCTACAAATTGTTGCATATTTAAGCGCATCCCCATCTCCACTTCGAGCCGTGTCCGCAGCTCTTTTGGCCATGCAAATCCGGCAAAGGATTCAGCACTAACAACCCCCACGCGTTCCCACACTTAAGCCCCCCTTCCCACCTTTTTTTTGGCTGCCCTGCTTTGGATTGCTTTGTGTGCCAAATCGTTGGAAAATTTATTGGAATTTGAATTTCAAAATAAGGAAAAAAGAGGAGCTACAGCGAAATCGCCGCATCGAAAGGTTTTTTGGCAAAATACCAATGTGTGAATTTCTCACTACTGGTTATCTTTTTTCTGACCTATTTCTGCACAGAGAACAAGTCAAGGGCTCTTCTTCGCAACATGATATTTCCATGTATTTACGATTAATATCTGATTTAAGATACCCTGCGGTAATGTATTTTCAAAGAACCCGGAATGATTTCTACTGAGCTCGTTGAAACTGTTTTAAAACAGCATTTAATTGCAACGCATCAATATGTAATATGAGTACATTTTTTATACTGAAGTTAGTGAAGCAAAAGTAATCATTTGTTGTCAAATCTAGGAACACAAATTCAGGACCATTCTCACTGTGCTTGCAAATCTAAAACGTAAATCCTTTTTAACAACTGCTCTTTAACATATTCCGACTCGTTCGACTAGCTTTTCTTCACTGAGCTGCTTCCCGTTTTTGCCCGGCTTCTTGGTCGTGTGAAAATTCCTAAGCGCGTTTGTCGCCATCGCCCCATCGCTTCGGATTTTTTCCACTCCACTTTGGCATCTGCATAAACTTGACCCAAAAAGCACTGGGGGGGAGAAAGAAAAGGGAAAGCCAGCTAGCCAGGAAAGCGAATCCTTTTTTTCCAACTATTTCCTTTCGTAGATTTTCAACTGTTCAAAGATTTGGATCCTGTTTGCAATCCTCTCCTGCCCGCATTTTATGGCCAATACGTGAGCTGTGGATATTATGCGCATAACTTTATTGTGCCACACCCCTTTCGGCTAGTGGTTTTTCCTGCTGTTTTTCAATTTCCATTCAGACTCTCTCTCAACAACTTAATCGTTTCTGCGTTAAGCATACGCACTGTTGCCTTTTTCCCAGCTATCTTTGCATGTAAATTTTGTTAGTATGTGTGTTGCTTTTAGCCCCTTTTGGCCAAGTTTTTTGCCAAGCTAAGCTCGTAATAACCCATTCTTTTTTACTAAATTTTCGGAAGCGTCGAAAGTAAACAAATTGCAGATGAGTTTATACCAGCTACACACAAACAAACTGGCTGGCTAGCTGGCTGGCAGCAACATTTTCTCATGCATAGAACAAGGGGTTAAAACGCTTATCATTTGTTGCCTTTTGGACAGTGGCTTTCTCCTGTCTTCCCACCAATTCTTCTGGCCTTTCTGGCCCCCATCCCATTTCACAAATCCACTTAGTGTGTGTTTAGTGCTGTGGAGTGTGTATTCCGCCTCCTGCTGCTTCTGCCTTACATTTTTTTTGTTGTTGCGAAAATCCTGACTCATGTGATTTATGTGTTCCCCTTTCCAACATCCTTTCAACTATTTGGAAGCTATCCAGAAGAAAGTAGAAACCGAATAAGCTACGCCAGGACTGGATTCTTATGGCACTTTGAATAAGTTTTCTTGGCATTTATTGCTCAGCCCAAAAGCAAACTGCATTATGAGCCTTTCAGCGAAGCGATAAGAAGGCAGAACGATGTCTTCGCAGTGGCGAAACCAGATATTTTCGGATATAAATAAGATAAGTTGACAGAGACCAGTACTAGGGCTGAATTAAATGTGGTTTTGGATTTTGTAAAAATCATTTTTTATTCGACAACACACAGCCTTAAGGGCAAATCCTCTGATGTTTCTGAGTCATACATTTGCCCCAATTACATTCCAGAAAAAAAATATATCAAGCATATGTTTCAATATTAATCAACATCGTTTATGTATGTATATTCATGAAGTAGCAATTTGAATAATTTGCTAAAAGCCCGGGATAATCTCCGTCTTGTTCCCCATCTCGTGGTTGGCTTTCTCTACTCTTTCCCCAGCTTAATGATGAATTAAAGCCATTTCCTGTGGGCCACTGTGTGTGCGAGAGAGTGTTTGACAAAAGACCAAACAAAGGCGCTCAACCAACTGACACAAAAGTCTGCATAATCAATCAGTCGGTCTGTCGGTCGCTCGGTCTTTCTGTCCCCCAAAAATCTCCCCCTCACATACTTATGTACGTGTATGTATGCCCCAATCTTTATTCTGTGCAGCCTTCTTTGCATGTTAACAGATGAGCAAAAAATTTGCTTACGCAGCTTTTTGGCGCCTTCCGCAGACTTCCTTCCGGCCATGGCCAGCACCCCTCGATCATCCCTTTTGCAGCCCCCGAGTAGCATTTTACACGAGGAAAAAATGATTGACCCTCTAGCTATCTATCTTTCAAGAGGCACCTAAAATTATCTATCTATCTTTCAAGAGGGCCCTAAAACTAGCTATCTATATTAAAAGAGGACCCTAAAATTATATAAGAGTTTATTATGGTGACGTAATATTTCCACAGCATACTTTTGTGTATAAGATATAGTTCCTGTAGACAGGACCTACAACATTTGTTTATATCCGAATTTAAAGTGCACCTTTTTTCTTCCGATGCATTTGGCTGCATTTTGCATGGCGCAAAAGTCAGCTGGGGATTTGGCAAGTCTGGGGAAAGGGATAGCAGGTCGTACAATGAGCGATGAGGGGTCTCAAATGTGAGTTTGGCAAGTGTAAAAGCTTTTAAACATACAAACACAGACAGGCGGACACACATTCCCCCAGTCACACACACACACACGCACACACACACAAACAAAGAGAGACGACATTCAGTTGCATTTGCAAGCTGTGCATAAGCTGACATCAATGTAATGAAGATGTATTTGCATATTGTAGCACTGTCAATCTGCTGGCTTCCCCACTCTTCCCCTCTTCCGCTCTTCCCCTCTGCCACTCATGGCCCCTCTTGTGCTCGCTGTCCTGCTCTTAACCCCCGACTTTCTACATTAACCCTCTTCAGAGGCACTACCCCTTGAGTTTACTTTGCTTTTGATGGCTCTCATGGGGGATATATCTCCTATCTGCTGGATTGTAAATTGTGGCTTGCGCTTCTTCGCTAGTGCTGCTTTAATTTATTGAGGCGAGCGAATAGTTATACCAGTTACTCTTAGGGTTAGATTTGGAGAACGTCAATATCTCGCGAAAAAAAAATATCACTCAACTGTTAGATCAATATACCCTCTGCAAGAGTATAACGCACATGGGGGAAAGCCTCCAGTGCTTTTTTGCCTCCCTTTTTATTGCATTTTATATGCAAGAAGTGAGTAAAAGCAGAACGGAAAAAAGGGCCAGCAGTATTCAACAGCAAATAGCAACAAAAACAATAATATCGCCCTGCGAGTCCAGGGCAATAAAAAACGGCTAAGAACAACAAGAAGCTGCTACCAAAAATGTATTTTTTGTCCGAGTTTTGGTGCTCATAAAGCGTAAAGATAACACACAAACACACCGCTCATAGTTGTGGCCAAAACATACACACACACACACACACACACAGAAAGAAAGACACACAAAAAACGAGGGGGATATTACGCATACGACCCGTGGGCGCTTTGCAGTCACCACTGCTGCTGATCCAACTCAAAACTCTCGCAGTGGCTGTTCATCTTGGGTTTTCATTCGCTTCGGTTCGGTGCGGTTCAGTTCGTTTCATTTTTTATTATTTAATATTTTAAAACACTTGCGGTGTTATTGGCATCACAGTAACAACAACAAACAGTATGGAAAGTATGTTACGGGCATATACAACATTTGATTACTCTGGTACTTTTGCATTACATCATTTTCTGCAACACAAATACGCAAATTTTGTTTTCATGGAAAACGTTCTAAACATTTTCCGAACCCCTGACCTGCTCAGTTATTATTAAAATTTTTAAAAAAGTACAGGAAGGCCATGTTATTATAGAAACCTTTTTCGGAAAACACTGTACCTCGGAGTGAAGTAGAGTATACAAATAATAAAATACACATAACCACATGGGCCATGCGGCAGAAATGGATTCGACAAAAAATCGAGTACACAAACACCCACACCCACACACACACACACACGCTCTTGCAGGAGAGACACACTCGCACATCCATAGACAATCCCAAAAAACAAGCTGTGGATGCCAAAGGGCATCCTCATCCTTCTCGACCACATCCTGCCACCCACTTGCTCCTTGCCGCTTTTGCTGTGGTTGGTGTTTTGTGCCCGGGTGAACTTTAAGCAAGCTCTACGAAGACTTTAAGCCGAGTCCAAATGTTCGAACGGCACGTTGCCGAATAATATTTATTTGCAACATGTCTCGCCCCTTGAACTCCTATAATTAGCATGGAAAAGGGCGCAAAACATTTCAGATGCCCAGTGCTTAACTTGTCATAACTGAAAGCGAGCCAAAGCCCAAAACGCCAACAGAACTGTTGGCCCAAATGTTTTTCCACACCCCACCCACCTCCTCACAGTCATCGGTCCACAATTTCTGACATAGGCTAACGAAAACTTGCAGAATGTGGAAGCCGGGACCTTACTCTTTTCCTAGGACGGCTTCTGAAAGACTACCAGCTTAATGTGTCAGAAAATAGAAACTTTGGATAGTCGCTGGTTGGTTGGTTGGTTGGTTGGGTTCCTGGGCTCGACAAAAGTTTATCAATCAAAATAAGGGAAAAGTTACTCGAACAAATCTCCTCGCAATCTGTGTGTAATTTTCTCCAGTTTGCTTTCTTTCTCATTATTCCATCGGCATTTATTCACTGCGTCCTATTCACACAGTTCTGATAAGCGAGTGATACTCGTATTTGTACTAATAAGTTTCGTTATCCATGCTTCAAAGGCTTTTCCCTCGCAAAGTTTATACACAGATGCAAATATGATTTTGCAAACTCTATTTTACACATTCACACAGAATTAATTGGGAATTGTACGCTGTCCAAATTCGGTGCCATTACACTATTCTGTCTCGCTTAGACTAACCCCATTGGGAATTAGGTTTCAGTTGGTTACGTACCTAAATGCTGATCGACTCGCTTTTTGGGCTTCTGCACGGATGCATAGGGATCGCTGCAGTAGTCCTGCCGGGACGGATTCTGGCTGTTGCGCAAGTTGTGGTACTCGTCGCCCACCTGGCTGGGCGTGGCCGTGAGGTGTGGGTAGGGGGCGTAGTCGTCCACCGCCCCGTAGCCGCCATGGGTCAACGGATCGTATCCGTAGGCGGGCTGCTGCTCCACATACTGATTCATTGGGGCCTGCACCATGCCCTGCTGGTTGCCCACCGCCGCAGCTGACATCTTCACCTGCCACAGAGAGTCCTGCGAGTTGACACTGCCGCCGTTGTTCGAGTTCGAATAGTTGTTCTCCATGTAGCCCATGTTGACCCCTGGAAAAACACAAAAAAATTCAACAAATAAAAGAAATGATGAATGGATATTTATCGAACAGCGCATAAATTCATGAAGAGGCTGTACTGTTTTCGCGGAAAATTCTGCGATACAAAATAGGTGCAAACAATATACGCATAAAGAAGGATTTCTATGTGGAATTCAGTAATTTAAAATATATTGTTTAATGGAATTAACGTTGGTTCTTTCTCGACGGACTCTCCACTTTGGAAACCTCCATCGCTCACATGTAAAATATCGACTATTTGGCCTTTGGCCAAGAAAAGTTTCCCTCGTTGGCAGTAAAATAAAATTTAATTAAAATTAAGCAAAAGTTTGGTCACAAAACAAAGTTGAAGTTCTCTTTTGGGGGCAACTTTTGGGCTGGATTTTTATTGATTAACACATAAAAACGACATCGGCATACAATTTATGAACTTCGAGTCGTAGACAAGGCCTAATTAATAGTTTATCACATTGCGTATACGCCGCGTGCGCCACTTAAAATCCATCCTAATGTCGTAAATCCTTGAGGAGCACCGAATTCCAATTCTTCTTCTTCATCCACCTTCCATCAGCCATTTTGACAAATTTTTATGGGGCAAGCGAATGGAGAAGCCTTTGTCCTTCAACGAGGAGCAGCTGGTGTTCCCATTTGCCCACTCCTGTGCACCGATTTTTCCATTTTCATTCATTGTTCCCTATGCTTGCCTTGGCTGGTGCGTGCTTGCTGCCTCGACGCATTTATTATTATTTTTATATCGTGATAAATCACTCATAAATATTAAACGCACGCTTGCCGGCAAACAAAAACTTTTTGAGTTTAGAGCTGCCAGTGGAAAAAGTGTTCCCCAAAGTTAATAATCTACGGCATTTTAGGGGATTTGTCACTTTTGAAAGGATGTGAAGACTTTTCATTTATCTCAAACGCTATTTTTTGTTGCGTGTTTATTTACGCAGAATCCGTCGTTATTTAATTATTTAAAAATTGAAATTCACACAAAATTAATCGGGGCTTTGATGCATACACCTTTTTTTATGTTCTCTAACAGAATGCTTTATTTTATAAACCACAAAAGCCCCTGCAACAAAAAGTATGCAATAAAAATGTTCGATATTAGTGAGTTTCCACAGAGCGAGTGTCGCATATTTGAGGGTATGCAATAAAGGCTGATTCAGGATATAGGAACATATACCCTATAGCATACCCACTCTTATGTGTGTTGCGTGAACTTTGTGGCGACCATTTTCATGGCAAGTTTGGGGTTTTTTTTGCGTGTCCTCAGCTGGAACTGCTACGCGAGTTTGGGGCCGCGATTTTATGCCTCGTTTTGGTGGGCGTGATAATTTTTATGATCAGCCATAAAACTAAAACAGTAATAATATTAACTTCATTTACATTTCATGCGGCCAACTTTTCCTTGCTCTTTATTTGCTCAGCCAATTTACATATTTGCTTGAGTAATTTTATTCCACAACATTCTGCCTATATACATTTTCCAATTGCAATGCGCGGGAGGGAGAAGGAAAAAAAGACTGAAACTTTTCAATTTGATAAGCATCAAATCTTTTGTCGGCGGCAACTTTTGATTGCTCAAGTTTGCCAAAAATATTTGACCGAAATAACAAAATTTCCCTCCCCAGCTGATGAAAATTTTAATGCATTTCCATTGTCTGGAGGAAAGCATTTTGCCTACTACTTATTTTTCATTTTTTTAGCAATTAAAGTTTGTCAAAGTTTTGTGCATTGATTTGAGCAAATAACAACAACAGTTGCGGCATGCTTCCCGGCCCAGTCACGCCTCCATTTTCCGCAATTTTCCCCGCCCCACAGCCCCTCGCCGCACAGCTTATTATTAAACCCCATTCCCCCTACCCCGCCGCTTGCAAAATCTTTTCATGTAAAAGTGCCTGGGCTGGTGGAAAGTTTTCCCTCTAATTCACTCGACAAACTTTTCAACCGGAAGCGCTTACAATTATGCAACATTTTTGTGCAGCAGCAACAGCAGAGCAGCACAAGCAGCACAAGCAGCACCAGCAGCAGACGCACAATAAAAACAGTTTCAAATGCCATTAACGGTTAACTAAATAGCAGGCCGTGGCTCGGCAACCACAAGGGTTAAGGATGGGGCTAACTTCTGCTGCCACACTTTTGCTGCCAGTCACCCGGCCGACCCCACTTAACCCTTTCCAACCCAACTCAACTCATTCGAACTGAAGTCGTGCCCAGTTCACTGTTTTTGGGGTGTTAATAGCACTAGTTCGCTCCTTATCTAGGTTTCTCACGTTGCACTGCGAGAAACCGGGGCCAAGCACTTGCTATCAATTCAATACATAAAGAGGTGTGAATTAAATAATAGAGAGTTGCTTAAGCACAATCAATTGGTATTTGTGCGACCTATTCTTGCCGACTTTCATGCAACACCACATTTCCCATGCAGCTGTGATTTTCCCTGCGACCTCACGAGTCCCTGGTGACCTTTTCCTTGTTGCACTTTTAATTAGCGACGCGACTCGTAGACTCGCAGAGATTCGTGAGTTCTGAGAGAGTTGAGAGTCGGAGGCTGCTTGGCATTTGCCCTAAATGCGCTTAAATGTAGCAGGCACAACAAGGGTCGTATTTTAGGGGAAATGGGCGCGGGAAAGCTGCGGGAAAACGGGGGAAAACGTGGGGAAAGTAGGGAGCGCACTAGTGCCGAGTTCCTGCACTTGCCGTGTTGCACTTTTCCGCCGCTCCATCCGCTCTTCCTGCCAGCTCCTTTTGTGCGCCCGAGTTGGCCAAAAAGTTTGGCCCGCTGCGCTGCAACAGCTTCAGTTTCTCAGATTTTTTATTCCCTCCCTAGGATAATGAATGAAAAGCCGGTGGAGGCGTAGCAGGGAAAGTAAAATAACTTTGTTAGCGCAACTCTCTCCCCGGAATTCGCCTTGTTGTTCCTGATCAGCTGAGCATGACAGAATTTCCAGTCCAGAAAGTGACTTGATAAAAACGCCAGCTTCAGGTCAAGGGTATTGATGATTTCTTTTTCACTAATAATTTAAAGTCTTCGTCTTGGCACTGGCCCAAGGGTCTTTAGTTTTAAGCCAATTAGTTGGCCAGCTGCAAACAAAAAATGCCAGCAAATTGGAACTCATAGTTGCTGTCTTCGAAATGTTGTTTGTGTGCGGTCGGCTTTTGGTTTGTTTTGGTTTAGCTGGGGTCGGTTGTTGGTCAGTCGGTCGGTTGGTTAGTTGGACATTCAGTCAGCTGTGCCAAGGCTGCCGATGACCCCCCTTGAACCCAACGCTTTAACCCTTCACTACAGCTGAACACATGAAAAACATGCTCGAGAGGCAATCACTGCAAAAAAGAAGGATTGGCAGCATTAGGCATGCACTCAAAGAAATGCATTTAACGGCTTTTGAAAATGTAGTTATTTGAAAGAGATTTATTTGAAATATTTATCAGGGACCAAAAGCAATTTACAAACCTTTTTTTGTTGTAAAATGATATTTTTAAGAACTTGTGTATGATTTAATTGATCTGGCTTTTTTCTCCTATTTTGAGCTACGTTTTTGGTGCGCGCAAAACTATTTTGCGGCTATTTGCTTTGCGGGGCTGCATGTTAAGCCCAGAATACTGCACAACTGAACTGAACTGAACAGCATGGAACCCCGGGTCCGGAACCCCAAGAATTGCATTGAAAATGCCCCCCACCAGCGGAATCCCAAGCGAACTAAACTAAACCAAACCCAACTAAAACATGGCAGACATTTGTTGGCCCGACGCGCGGGTTCATGGCTTTATTTATTTAGCGCATAAATTTGGCGAGCGCGGGATTCCTGGTGTTCTTCTTTTCACCCAGCTATTTTTTCCTATTTTTATTTGTATTTCTATTTTACCTCCTCTCTATTTTCGACGCTTGGTTGCCTCTTCTCTCTGTGTGTGTGTGTGTGTGTGTGACGACATTTGTTTGCATTTATTTGGTTTTCCGAATTCCAGCTGGTTGTTTTGTTGCGCATTTATTTGCTGGAACATGTCCTAGCCGCCGTCTAGCCGTGGGCGTATTCCATATTTAAATATATATACCATATATATATACCCAGAGACCATGACTTCTGATTCTTTATCTCAAGAGTGCAAGAAACTTTCCAGCAGTCTGACCGGCATAACTTAAGCCGAGGGACTTGATAAGAGCTGGTAAGTAAGTTTATGGAAAGCCGAACACAGCTAAGTAAGTTTAAAAATATAGCAAGAGTGTTCCATCACTGAACATTTAATCACTGAACATATTTACTGAAAATTACAATAATTATTGAAGCATTGCTGTTCTATATCAAATCAGTTTCACTTGTATGCCAATCCAAAACTCCGGCTGACCCCTTGCCCCACTGATTTCATTGGTTGAACTGCGCTTGATTGTTTTTATTGCCGTCGCCGGTTTACATGCAAAGTTCATTAGGTTTTTAGCCTAGGTCGAAAGCAATTGTGGCCACGAGGGAAACGGGGTAGCGCACCAAAGGACCCGAATTGGGCGGCTGTTAACGAGCCCGAAAAGTGCAGGCAACTACAACAATGAACCGACAGAACTCTCAGTCGTAGACAAAGTGTAAAATGAAGGGGTTTATGCACGCAGAAAAAAACTGAGTGCAATCGCACTTTAAATGTGAATAGAAAATGCATGAATGTGCACGAGACATTTGCCGCATGTACCTTATTTTACATAATTATTACCAATTTTTCATTGATATGGCAACTGATTTTCAACTGAAAGGCAAGAATGTTATTTTCCGTGCAGTGCACACGACTTTGGCGGCTGGGTGCGGGAGGGGGGAGCATCTGCATCAGGCAAAGGACATTTTGGTCGGGAGCCGTGTGTTTTGGCTCTTCGCTTGTGGCTGCTCTGCTCCTTAAGCGGCAATTAGCGCTCACAATGAATCGCAGAGGGGGGAGGAAAATGGAGTTTTCCAATGCTCTGGCTCCTTTTTCGTTCCCTGCACTTGCAACCCTTTATTATTCATGCCACTTTCACTTGGCAAATTAGCTGTTACTGCAACTCCTTCTCTTGCCTTCTCCCACAATCGTTTTTAAATGCAATTAAGTGGCAGCCACCCCCTTAACCCCTTAATGCCCCCTAAGTGAGCCCCTGCTAGACTAAGCGCCTTAAAATTTTAATTGGCCTTCGAAAACAATTGAAACACGAAATTGCCAAAGCAAATTGCTGCTATTTGGAGGCTTAAAATACGTAAAAGCAAATTAATGCTTACGCCGTCCAGTTAAATGCGAATTTTGCTCCTATCTATGCGGTTGAAAAAAGAATTTTTTATGTTCACATTATTAGAAAGTGCCTTACGTTTTGGACCTCCCCATGTGAAAGGCTACAATCTCCGCGCGAAAAAATGTGTGTGTGGGTGAGTGGGCATAACAAAAAAAAAAAGTAAACGAAAACCAGCACAATTAATAATGAATTGTGTAAAACCGCCGAGGGGTAAAAAGCGAGGGAGGTTTTTATTTTTCTGAACGGAAAGCTTCTGTCCAGCTTTACGCATTCAAACAGAGTACAAGAGTCACGGTGAAAAGAAACTGGGGGATTCCCCCACTCGAAGGGACTCCGCAAAAAATGGGAGGACAAGTGGGCGGATGGGACGTCACGATGAATGGACGACAGCCACAATTGCAAAATGGAAAGTATATTACAAAATGCTACCGACCAGCAACAACAAACGGGGTGCGGGGTGGGAAAAAACGTAACAGCAAATGTTGAAGCGTTTAGAAAAAATTGCTGTTTCAACAAATTTACAACGGAAGTGGAAAGTGCTTTTCCCCGCTTTTCCCCACTTTTCCAGGTGCGTAGAAGGGGGCAGGCTGCTGACAGAACACAAACCGCGCTTGATGAATGCTCTCGCCACCATCGATTTGCACTCAACTCCATTTCGCACTTTTTCCCGCTTTCGAGGCCAGCATAATTTCGAGCAAGAAAAAATAGTCATGGAAAGCCCCTTTGGATGCCACCACAGCCCAATCCACTCCAAAAGTGTTCCTTTCAAGCGTCAGCACGGCTTTCATTTTGTGCGGAAGTGTACGTATTTGTGTGGACAATGAAAAATCACCGCAAACCAAACGGAGGTGAGTGCCCCAATACCCTTGGATAAAAAGGGGACCCTAAGGCCACGTCCCAACCGGAAGTATTTCTCACTTTGGTTTTCGATCTTTTAGTTCTGTGTGTGACACCTGCACGTGGCAAACACCTGAAGGTTTACATAGGTATTAAATGGGTTTGCCAAATCGCATTCCTATCTTGTCCACATGACATCCAAAAATACTGCTGTGAAAATCTTTAGTACCTTCCTATATTCTGTAGAGCATGAATTATTTAGTGGATTTTTATTTTTTCTGTACTCACATTCATTTCCGGGCATCGTGTGTGCACTGAGTCCAGGTATCCCATTGACGCCAACGCCACTGCCTCCGATTCCGCCCACTCCGCCGCCCATTCCGCTGACCACGCTTCCGCCCACGCCCACGCCCACCACGCCGCCGCCCATGCCAACGCCCACCACCCCACTGCCCGGGTGATAGCTGTATCCGTTCTGGGTGGCGTACAGTGCCGTCTTCTGATCCTCCATGCTGAGGGCGAGATCCATTGAGTGTTCCAGTGCCTTGTTGTCCAGCCCGGAGGCGGGGTAATAGGGGGGTGGGGCCTGGTTCTGCTGGGCGGCCACAATCGAAGGACGCACCGAGTCCATCTCGTAGTCCTTGGCGGCGGCGCTCTTCTTCGATTGATTGCGCTTGCAGCGGCAGAACATCAGGATTAGGCCGGCGAAGAGGGCAAAGACCACGCAGGACACGATTATCGCGATGAGAGTGGGCGTGGCCAGGGCACTAGCCTCCGCTATGTACGGCCTGCCAACTAGAAAAAGAGGCGTGATTAGTTTAGCCAGCCAAAAATGGATAATCAGTGTAATCAATGCGCCTCTGTAAATATTAACAGCTTTATCGTAAGCTGATAAATTTATCGAACATCGCACATCGCTTATAATTGATACATGTGGAAATCTATATTTATTTAATTGTAAGGCATTTCTATCTGGCTATTAAACAGCTTTATCGTTAGCTGATAAAGTTATCGAACAAGTCGATGATATTATTAGCATCGTTTATAATTAATACACATGGAAAACTATATTTATTTAATTGTAAGGCATTTCTATCTGGCTCTTTGCAAGGCAAATTCTTAGCTGCATTTCAGTTTTGGGCTCTGTAGTCGAGGGCGGGATGAAATGAAGCCATGAAAAATGCATCGCGAGGAGTTGAAGTGGATGGATGAATGGTTGCCTGGCTGCTTGGTGGATGGCTGAATGGTTGGATGGATGGTTCGCAGTCTGAAAGATGGGTGGCAAGCAGTGAAGAGACCCACTGACGGGATGAGTGATTGATGGCTCGCAGGCAGCCGGTCATTCAAGTGGTGCAATTGCTCGTAATGGCTTTGCATATAATGGAAATCATCAGAATCGGTGCGAGTTTCCAGCCAGCCAGCCAATACTCTATTCATTTTCCACCTTCACTTCACTCCGGCGCATTCCTCATTTCAAGAATCCCAACTTTTAACTGAGAGTCTTTGTTGTGATTGTTTCGATTTCGCGATTAACTTACTCGCACTATGGTGAAATGATTTTTGGTACTCACTTTCTGCGTCTGTGTAATCGCCGCAGTGGTCGGGATTGGTCCTCAGGCACAGTTTGACCCGCACAGTGGGACTGTTTTCGTCCTCGAGGGCCAGCGAGTTCAGACCATTGCCTTCCTCGTCCTGGCTGATGGTGTGGCCCAGAGCGCGTCCTCCTCCGACTCGCCGCGTTCCAATTATTCTGTCGATGATCTTCTCCTTGTGGGTGGGTCCGTTGCCGGACAGCTGCAGGTTATCCATGGTGGTCACCACCTCCCAGGCGGCCATCGGCGAGTCCGCATTCACCATGGTCTCCACAATGGCCACCAGATTCAAGCACGTGGCCCCCACATCGATGCCGACAGTTCGAGTACTGGGCTCATAGGTCACCTGCAATGGTGGCGGAATTCTGCTGACCTTTGTCGTCACCATGATTTCACTGGAGTACGGTGAATCGCTCTTGGGATTCAGCGCCTTGACCTTGAAGGCATAACTCTGGTGCTGCTCCAGGGCTGTTACCTTGCAGGGAATGTCCTGCTGGCAATCGACTTCCACCCAAGCTGAATTCGAGTTGGCCAAAGTGGCGCAATCCGGTATCAATTGCTCTTCCCTGGGCATGGCCACACGGCGATAGCTAACAAAGAATTTGGTCTTGCTCAGACCACCATCGAATCCGGGATCCCAGCTCAGTGATACGAAATTGTGACCCACCGCGGTGGCTCTCAAGTTTGTGGGTTTCTCCGGGGGTCCTTTCTGCTGCAGTCTAATGGGCGCTCGAATCGTGTCCAGGGTGTTGGCCACCCGGCAGGTGTATTCTCCGTAATCCGAATGAGTCAGCGAGTTAATCTTGAGCACGGACGTATAGATGTCATTGTTATCGGTGGTGGTACTAATCTCGTAGTGCCCATCCGAGGACATGGTCAGCGGCGATGGATTGTTGCCAAACTGCCATTGGAATTCGGGTTTGGGATAGGCCTGAACCTTGCAAACCACCTCGGCGGTCTCCCTGATATCGAAGGCCACCTTGTTATATTGATGCAGTACAATGGGCTCGTGCTCGATCCTCAGCTGCATGGACGAGTTGGCCGAGTTGACTTCGTTCTGGTACAAGCAGGTGTACAAGCCACGATCCCCGGGCACTAACGCGTTGCCATTCGGTCTGGCCTTTCCGCGGAACTTAAGTTGGCTCTGCACCGTGACCATGCCGTTGAGTCCCTGATCGGGATTGGTCTGTACCTCGTACAGATTCTCCTCGGGCAGGATTTCCACTGCGTCCTTCAGCCACTTAACACTGGGTGCTGGCTTTCCCTTGGCGCTGCAGGTGACCGTATAATCCGTATCGGCCACTCTTCGGGTCATATGCTGCTGCAGCTTGGCCAGGAACTGCGGCGGCTGGTGGATCTCCAGGACAATGGTGGCCATCATTCCGATGCCCAGTTCGTTCACAGCATGGCAATGGTATTTGCCCTCGTTACCCAAGTGAGCTTTGGGTATCGAGTACTGAGGGCCTTGCGCCAGGATTTTCTGCGTGCTGGAGAACTCTCCATCCATGTCCCTGAACCACCTGTACTGGGGCACTGGCCAGCCGGGCGGATTGGCGGAGCAGGTCAGGGTAACCCCATTGCCCACATGCACCACCGGCTTGTTGGGCGTTATGTAGGCCTGTCCTGGTCGATGGCGAACTAGCAGGGCCACCGTGGAGTTGCCCACTCGTTCACTGCGCTCCATTCCCTGGCTCTGCATTATGTTCACGGCTCGGCAGATGTAGTTTCCGGCATGATCGGCTCGCACGGAGGTGAGGGTCAGCACATCGCCGTTATAGCGAAAGTCGGGACTGTTCTCCTTGAGCCATTCAATGGTGACGGGCGCAGGATTGGCTGTGACATTGCAGCGAATGGTCACCGTATCGCCCTCTTCGGCCTCCCGTGTCTTGGACTCTATGACCACCATGGGTGGGTACAGGATGTCCAGGATGAGCTCCTGTTCTCCGGTCTTACCAAGACCGTTGTCCGCAATGCAGGTGTACTTGCCGGCATCTTGAACACTCACTCGATGGATCGTGTGAACTAATGAGGAGCTGATGAACCGACCATTGCGATTCCAACGGACATTGGGAACCTTCGGCTTGGCATCCACGTTACACTCCAACTTGGCAGTCCGGTCACGTTCCACCCGCAAAGGATTCTCGGGTCCAACCTCGACTCGGGGGTAATCTGGAAAAAAGCAGAGGCAAAAACAGAAAAGCAGGAAAAATTAGTCAAGTCACACAGGCAGAATTGGAATCAAAGCAAACCGCTGGATGAAAATTAATAAACACGCAGCATTTTTGGCATAATCAGGCGGCATAATCCGAAACTTCTAATTGAATTAGTCAGGGAAAACGAGGCGGGCGCACTGGTGGTTATGATTAGTCTGCTGATTAGACACGAAATTTGTCAATTATTAATTAAACTAATGAAGTGTCCGAAGGTCGGCCAATGCCAAAGACTCCTAGCGACTCATTAGCAAAGTTAAAAGGAGGAGGAGATAATTTGTCGTTAATAGAAGTGGTAACCAATTCAGCTGGGCCCTTCTTTAGTTATTTAAATGAACAAATTTCCCGATTTATTTTTGAGCTTTACTATATAGTTTTTCCAATACCTTTGCATAAGATTCTGAAAAACTTAAATTAAGCCACTTGAATGAACGTGAGGATATCCGTGGCTCTTAAAAATAAGTTTAGCACAGGAATCCTATTCAACTGCAGGTAATTTCCTCCCCCATTCCCTACTCGCTCGGAAAACTCCGCCCCTGCACTTCATCACCGAGTTAGTGGCCAAGTCGGAGTTGCTGACTGCAAGTCATACTTGAGCATTAGCAACCTCTTATGCACCGCACCGCACCGCACCGCAAATGGCGTGAAATTATGTCTGAGCCACCGCAACCACTTTGTAATTAACTGCCCCCTGGATAAGTGTCGCCAGCTGCCTAATGACTTTGCCCATAAACCCGCACTCCGCACCATTGACGGCCGGCCGGTTGGCCGGCGAAAGAAGTGAAAATGTGGCGGCAGTCTGGAGAACTTTAGCGGCCGCAATCTTGAGAAACTGGAGCACGGTCTGCGACTGGAACCCTTTACCCCATCCAACCGGCCATCCATCCATCTCCACTTGCGCCATTCCTCCATCTCCTCCTGCAAATTATAGTAAATTGCGCGATTCTCCCGTGGCTACCTCTTATGAAAGGTCTGAAAGGCGGGTTCAGGTGTCCCAGCACTCCAACAAATTTTTGCTTTTTTGGCGACAAAGAACCTACTATAGATACCTATGGATATTGAACAAAAGGCAAGCGCTAAACTCATTTGTAGAATTGCAGCATGGGATTCAAACATATTAAGTGCATAAATAGCTAATCTCATAAAGTGAAGACAATGTTCATCACTCATAGCATTTTCTCAGAGTGTAGCTTTAACCCCAGCTCAAGTCGCAGAATCGTCTTTGCGTGTTTATGTGCGTGTAATTACATTTGATTGTCTGGCTTTGTTCGCCGACTCGACGACCATTAAAGCATTGTTTGGTTAGAAATCAAGACCAGCTTCTGTTTCACTCTGTTCGCTATATAAAGGGTATATACAATGTACAAGTATTACCCGAACTTACTGCGCTATTTTCAGTTGCCGGGCTTGCCACAGTTTTTGTTTGCGTTCTTGCCCGCTAAATGGCTTCAAATTGGCTTAATTGTCACTTTGCGAACATGTTTTCAGCATTTGGGCCAGGCCGTTTCTGCACTGCATTCCTGGGATTTTCCGGTTGGGAAAAGGGCAAGGGGTAGTGACCTGAAAATAGGCCCTTCATTCCCTTGATTACTTTAAAATGGACCCCGGCCAAACAGCAGTCGTCGAGTGAAGTGAAGTTCCTTCAATTATTTCCATAGCCAACGCTTCGTGTTCATAAATAATCAACCAAAATGAAAGAGACGGGCGCCAGGGAAATGAAAGAGAGGGAGCAAACAATTTTATGCGTGTTTTGCATATAAATTTTTTTGCTCAACGCCCTTGGACATGGTCCTTAAATTATGTACGCAAATAATTGAATTAGTTTACAGGACCAAAAAATAAATGGGAAGATGCGAAAAATAAGGGGACCCCTGAAAATCGTGTTAGAAATATTTTTCCAATCAATTGCCGAATTGTTGCCAGAGACCCTGGCCTTCCCCATTTACAAGTACTCAAAAAAAAAAAAAAAACGACCCAACCATTCACTTGGAAAATACTATTAGCAAACACAAAGCACCCTCAAACAAAAGTAGATGGGAAAAAAGGAAAACCATCTCTTAAACTGACAACCAAAGCAGGAGAGAATTAAAAATGTAGTTTAGATCTGGGACTGTACAGCAATCTTTCTGGCCAGTCCTGAATGAAGAGACAAATAGGCTTAATTTCATTTGGTATTTTTCACATTCGTCCAACTCAATTTGGCAACTCGAATAAATGCGATGGGGTCTAACGCAATTTGTCGAAGGATCTTTTTAAGCAATTAGCTGGGTCTAAACTTGGTTCGTGTGCCTAACGGATTTAAGGAATTAAACGACTAAATGAATGAGGACAAGTCAAGCTTAAAATATTATTTCTTAAGAGCTAACAAGGCTACAGCAAATATTCTTTGAAAAAACTACCAATTTGAGCAGCCAGAAAACAACCATCAAAAGAGCAATGAAATTAGAGAAAACAGCAGTCAGCTAATATTAATTTTAATTTTAATTACCAAAAGGCAATGAAAAAAGAAACGGGAATGTGGCGCGCGAGCAGCAGATCCATTAAAAATAATCGACAGAGCTTTAACTCCCTCAATGGCCGTTGCTTAACTTGGCCAAATCCAATTTTGATGTGTGGACTGCGGGTGGGAGAGAGAGCGGGCGGAAAAGCGGTCGGAAAAGCGGGAAAATTGTGGAAGGCACGCGCTGAGCCACAGGCCACAAAAGCCATGGCAGCCAAGGCAAAAGCGATTTGATATGACCAACCAGCGCAAAACCAAACCGAACGAACAACTCGTCCTTGCCACGCCTCCCCACCCCACCGCCTCAGCCCCCTGCATCCATCCTCCAATTTAACCCTCCATCCATTCAAGACACGCGAAATTGGCAGGCCAGAAAACATTTGGCCCGAGGTTCAAGATAAATGATAAGGCGACTACGACTTATCCCCAGTTCAGTTTTTCCTCAACCTTCTCTTTTGGTTTCGCCTCCGGCCCTTCTATTCGTAACTAATGAATGCTAAGTTTAAAAAGATACACAAATTTTCCAGCAGATTCAAAAAATTTAAGAAGAGCCATAACCAAGGCTGCCAAAAGTCCCAGAGGCCAACCACTTTACGCTTAAATTAAAGTTGGGTTGGCAAGTCAAGAGGTCATTTTAAATCAACTAATATTCAGGAAGCTTTCAAAATAAATTGACAATAATTTATTACCAAATTCATTCCAAATAACCAATAAATAACTTGGACATGTAAAATCGATACATAGCCAGCCGCTTTAGCTGCCCAAAACAATTAACGCATAACTTTAAGCAGACAAGTGTCTTAAAATGTTATTGACCCATCGAGAGATTCGGCCCGAGCCTCCTCTTCCAATCACAGTCTTATCAAGAGGAATCTCTCCTGGATTCTCCTTTATACTTCCACATCCAGTGCAGCCCTCGGCCTGCCAGTTGTGTGGCATCTTCAAGTTGATGCTGCCATGATTTTCATCATCTACTAAATGTTTTCCTTGGCCTTTCAAGTTTTTCTTGTTTCCAAACTGCTACATATGGATGTGGATCCACAAACAGCTCCTCGAACTTCTTTCAGCATCTTCTCCAGCTGCTGAAGCTCCGCTCCTCCTCCGTGGAGCCGGACTCCTGCCATGCCCAACCTAGCCATCTCTGCCAGATGGTTTGCTTGTGTAACTTGTTAGTTTTCTTTAGTGGCCCTACACGGGTTTCTCCATCAGAGACACACACAGGCCAAACAGCTGCGGTCAAATTAAAAGTCCAGGTCAGCACTATAGCGCCATTTAGTTTTTTAATGATTCATATAGATAAATGTTCATAAAAATGCATTCAAATGCTTATTATTAAACAACGAATGACTCATGCGTACATTCACTTTTATATTTTAGGTTCGCGATGGCATTAGCATGCATGTAGGCGATTTTGAAAATATAGGCCTATTTTGTCAGCCGCAACTGTGTCCAGTCAAACACACTCCCGGCACTCGCATAGGAACGCTTGTTCCCTGTCTTGTTTTGCTATTAAGTCAAGAATTTTTATAGCATTTAGTTGGAAAAGCTGCACATACTTCTACCTACTCCGTCCCCACCCGATTTCCCCCGATTTCCCCCGATTCCTTCTTCTTTTTCGAGTGGAGATACGTACGCATAACTCGTGCCTGCTGTCAGCGCATTTGAGCTATGAGCTCTTGTGGTTTCTGGTTCGGCTTTTTATTAGTTTCTTGTTTGGTTTTCGGGGACTTGTGTGGAGTGCGAGCACAGTGACCAGCAGTACTGGCCATTTCTGGCTAACTAGTTACTAAATTGAGCGCATAAACTAAAACAACTGCGGTCCAGGAGATGGCAAGAGCAAAAAAAAAAAAACACGCACAGAAACAAGAACAGCAAATAGCAGTAGCAGTAGCAGTAGCAATGGAAAAATAGCAGAGGAAACTCGTTGGCCACTGCTCATAAATTACAGGAAGACATATTCAACGGAGACAAATAAACAAGTTCCCCTTCCCTGCCCCTGTTATCCATCCATTCCCAGTTTGGCGGACAGTATTTAGCTGTCACATTAGGTAGGGTAACAAGAAAATCATTTAATTGAACAGATCCAACCAGTGGGATGCCAAGAGTTACAGAGGAAGCTGTAGAAGATACTCAGAAGCTGTGAAAAGACATGGCAAGGTGCTTTGAAGTATGTTTGCTAATAGTAGTTGGCCACTCTAATTTGAGGCGTATATTCAGGTTAGTTTATATTTAGAAAGATACTCGAGTGACGCACATTAAATTCAAATTCAAATCAAAGCTAAACATTAGTAAGGAAAAACAAAAGTTCCCCGCTTGTATCTTTAAATGCATAACTGGATCTAATACATCCGAACGTGCCCAAAACTGAACCCGCACATAAACCACAAACTCAAAAACGTGCCTGAAAAAGCAAAGCACATAAAAAATACTCGAACACTCATGAGTTGTCCAAAGTGAAA